TTCATGCTTTTTAAACCTCAGAAATCAGAACTAGCTCGAGCAGCCACGTAAACAGTGATTAGTTTTACTAACCTGAAATTGCACCACAGATACTTGATTGCCACGCCCACACCGGATGGCCTTGTTCCCATTGCCAAACACTCTGACCTGAAAATAAAACAAACAGAAAAAAAAGTGATAGGTGTTCGTCATGCAAAAATCCCCAGAGTGTTTTTCATTACCACTTCCACGATGAGTTAAAAATTAAGAGTTACATGAAGTTGACAATTCTCCTCAATGTCTGCCACATATTTCTCTTAATTTTAGCCCAACCTCATTCCCAGGCCCTTTCCCCTTTTGCCCCACCCCCAGCTGAAGAAAAAGGCCCTGGGAACGAGGTTGAATTTTAGCCCAGTTTTCAGACAAACCCTCACCCCCACATTAGACTTGCTTACTTTGCAACAACAGGCAGGGGCATAGCCAGGATTTTTCAGAAGGGGGATTGCAGAATATCAAACAGAGGCTACTCACCAAATTGTCATGACAACCTCCAAACTGTGTTTAACCTAATGATTAAATAGGCTTACAAGGGGGGGTATGAGAACCCCAGGACCCCCCCCTAACTATGCCCTTGACAGGATTGCATGTTACTTTTCAACACTTTTGCAGAATGTTTTGGTAGTGACATGTTGTGTGTAACTGCAAGTAAAGCAAGGTCATGGGGGAAGGGGGTTGGCAAGGAAGTAATTTTGCTGCAAAAAAAACTTCTTTGTTCTCTGGATTGAAGTCTCCACTGTGCCCCCTCCTTTAGAAAAATTTGGTAAATCTGCCCCTGTGATGTTTTGGTAAAGTTACATTGTATTATTCAGTTTGTTGTCTATGTTTATGTCCAGTTGTCGAGAATCTCACCTTGAACAGTTCCCATAGCGGATACTGAATCAGTGCAAATGGTATCTGTAGAAAATAATTACCAGTAAATAAATTGGTGGTTTTGATAAAACCTTCATTTTTTCATTGTCACATACAATAATAATGTACCAATGGTGAAAATTATCAGACTACACCTTCAGGTGAAAATTATCCAGATCTAAATCTGATTTCATTGAGCAGAATCAAGAAAGAAGAATCTAGTTCCAAAGGATCCAAGTCCTTCATATTAATTACTCGTAACAGAAACTGGATTATATAACACAATACCTCTCTCATTAGTGTATTCCAGTAACCTCTGTACAAACCACGCACTCCCTTTAAAACATCATATTAACGTAAGCTTCACTGACCATTTAATGATATCAATTTTCTCTCTTTTTTCTTATAGTCCACAATCATTGTTCTTTTTGATGTCATTATTATCAACATGGTTCTTGTGGACAAGATCATCATAGTCATCATTGTTTTCATTTTCATCATGATAAATACTGTTCTTACATTGACTTTCACTCCAAAGATCTTGTAAGTAATTTTCCTTACTGTCCACCATACAATTCTGATAACGTTAATTTTGAGAATTTGGTGTTGGATCAACTAATAATCTCCTAACTGTCTTCAAGTGCCGCT